CCCGTCGGCAGAAATGTACTGATTGCACGCCAGGAGTGATCTATCCTTACGGGTGACACGATCGATATAAGCGAGCAAACTTAGCAGCACCCATATCAGCTACTAATCTTGAAGTAAGAATGAAAGAATTCGGATTAGGCGCCAATGCTTAAAATTATCTTCATTTCAGTCCCGCATCACTACGAAGAAACACTGATGATCAGTTGTCAAAAATATCTGCTACTGAAAGATGGGGTGACCTTAAAAAATGAACTCAGAAAACGAGCAGATCTTAGGCCAGTTGATGTCAGTTTGCAAAGAGGTTTGCTCACATTCGCGCTGTTCTTCCCAACGCAGAACAGGCAGTCCCCTGGTCCGGTTACGGGCCTGAAAAAGTTGCAGAAAAGCAGTCTGGAACGGGAACGTACGGCACAGATTTTGTACCATCCGCTGGTCACCAACTTATAATTTATGGTGTCTTCCATATCCAAGGGGCAAGTTGAGTGCTAGCACGGTCAGAACGCTGAACATATCACCAACTGTTTCACATGTTGTACCATCTGTAAAGCCAGAATTTCGGGAATCCTGGATCCAAGTGAGTTGTAGAGAAATGAAAGGAGATCCCTCGTCAGTTCGACTGATTTCCGTTCAGCTTATGGTTGACTCATAGGAAACCCTATTCAAGAAGGAACAGTGGGAAACACATGTCACTGATATGCTCAGCAGGTTAATCGTTAGCATTCGTTTCAACCGTACCTCCGATGTGGTGGCTGGGAAAGGATTCTTGCAGGCTTCGGAGCTACAAATTTATACCTATAGCTTTATATCTTTACCGACCCTTCCTCCGGAAGTTACTGTCGGATAGTTTGAAGCCGAGGACAGAGCCGTTGGGAGTACAGGTATGTGGAAGCTATCTCTCACCTTAACTGACGCTATACTACCTTCCAGGAAATCCAAATCAGACCTTCTCGATGACTGTCGTGTGAGATTTTAAAGGTTTTTGTGCAGAAAGTTGTCAATCACACAGCTAGAACCGAAGAAAGACATTACTGTGGCATCCGCCAGTAGGTACTGAATTTGTTCATTTTTTCGCCAATCATAGGCCGGTTAAAGGCACAAAAAACATCTTTCGAGAGCCTTAATGGGTAGTGGACTAAGAGTTCTCAAACTCAAATCTCTTCCATTATGTTTTTACGGCTGATTTCAAGTAGGCCCATTCGTAATCCACTACTGGTAAGGTTGCTTAGAATTCTTCGACAGCCCACGACCAGTTTCTCCCTTCTTGGGGGTCATCAGGTAGGCGCAGGCCCTGGAAACATCACAAACGAGATATTCAGCCGGATTCCAGGTGAGTCTCTCGCACAACCGAATTTGTTTGCAAATAAGTGTATTTTGCTGGATATGGCCTACCTTTCAGTCGAGGGGAGATCCTCATTTTCAAGTGAGAGCCTAAAGAGGTGACAGATAAGTGCAGTGGTGAAGTCAACCGCCGCCTTGGGTCATGCTGGTTACAGTCCATCGGGACATTGCGGAGAGCCCGAAGCTGACAATGAACAGTTTCTGACGCTTCTGTCTGGGAAGAAGGATGTTTGGGTACATGTGCACCAGTCAGTGAGACCTCTTCCATGAGTATTGTGGGGTTTTCGGATGTAAGTGAATAGTTTCTGGTAGCGTTCAGGTGAGTACACGGTAAGTTCAGACCAACATTGGTGTTGCTTTTCAGGTAGGGGCAGAAAGTCTGTGAAAACCTAAAAATCCCTCCGGATTTTTTAATGTTTGTGTTCGTCTTCATATGTTATTCTGAGGCTTACTGAAAGACCACAGAACTATTTTTCTTCCAACGCAAGGTTTACTTGGTAAATTTTGTTCCTTTCCGTTTCATCAAGAAAAGATGACGACGCAACAGTTTCAGGAACGTTTTTAGACGCGCATAAATAGCCATGCAATCTACGTGAAAAGAAGTAATCCTTGTATTTCGAAGTTCCTCTCCTCGAACTGTAATGCTTGGGCTGCTCTGAGGTTCCTTTCATCAGAGTTGGTATGCAGGTAAAAAATTAACTTCCCGGAACACCGAAACTAAGCCTACCTGATCGTAATGAGTTGATCACAATGATATAAGTAAGTCATAGTTGAACAACATAATCTACTCTACTAACTGAACAGTCGAGTAGAAATTTCGTCCTGTAAGTGAAGCCAATCTATGCTGAAAAGCCGAGAAGCGCTGCACAGCTGTTTCATCCTTATTGGGAATCATTAGCAGTGCGCATCTCAGGAAACTCCGAAGAGTCTCGAACCCGCGACCTCCCGGCTAGTAGATTGAACACTTAACCGTTCGGCTACGAGTGGCTGATCAGCAGCGTGATTAACTCGCACTCGGACAGAATGTAGCATCGCTCATCCTTCAATCACGGGATCCACATCACGCGGTCATCACAGTCGAGTGCTTGGTATTTCTGGGATATGGACCGGTGATGATTCCCAATAAGAAAAAAACAGATGTACGGTGCCCCCCGGCTTCTCAATATGGACTGATCCAGCTAACAGGGTGAAAGATCCATTAGAATTCCGCAGTCTCTCACTAGGCACATATTATTGTTGACATGCTCAGAGAGGGACAAAATCCCACAGTTTGAATGGACCTTCTGAGAAGGTCGGCACTGGAGGTGCCAGTAAGCACTGGATCAATTTAGGTGAATCACGTGGTGTGCTACGGTCTAGGTGCTGATCAGCAACACCTAGCAGCCTGGTTTGGTCAGAAAGAAAGAAATCGGATCGAATGGAGCCAAATAAGCTTGGTTCTTATTGAACGGGTCCCTTTCGATCGATCTTGTTCACAAAAATTCTTCTCACTAAAAGGGCGGAGGGGTTTTTAATTGCGTTGAAACTGCTTCACTGTTAGTTCAACAGATGGAAATCGTGGGTAAGATGTTTTGTGTTGAAAAAATTTCACCAGCCGACATGTCTTATAATTCGGCTCATACTATGAGTTTAGGGGTGTGAACCGTTCTGAATTGATCAATCGTTCTCGAGTATGCCTTTGTTCAACTATCAGTGACGTCGACTCATCAGTAGACATGCACTTACATCCAACAATTACACCGTCGTCCATCAATGAGAAAAACTTCTTGCAACAGTACGTTTTGGGGTAGTTAATTTACTGCAACTAATTCGAATTTAATTGGTTGATTACAACGGCAGACTGCGCCTGCACATAACCGAGTTACTCGGTAACCCATCCGCTTTTATCTCCAACCAACCTAGCAGTGTTTCATTGTTTGACGTGAAGTAGGCGTCAGACTTCTTTACGAGATTCGTTATCATCATATCACGGACTTGATGCTGACAAGTGCAGTGGAAAAGCTTATACCAAGGTACGAGACTGTACAAATAAATCAGCTTGCAATTCATCCATACTTTTCAGTTCTGTTCACTCATACTCAACCTGCAGCTTAGGGACTAGTTTCCATGCGGCCAGTGAACAGGCTAAACGGATCCTATCAGTTGCACCAGTGTCGTACCAAGAAGTCCAAACCACTAACTGAGAGGTCGCTAGCTCAAATCTCCATTGAGTTTCGTGAGATGCGCACTGCTGATGATGATTTCAATAAGGAATCATTCTCGGTGTTTCGGCATACACCAGCCTTACTTAAAAGACGAAATCTAACGTTACACATGCGGTAACGTTTTCTTCTGAGATATGTTCTCAGCCGTTAAGGCCACGCTCAGGCTGATGACTCATCGAGCTGTTGTCATTGCCTGACGGCGCAAAGTATCCAAACAACGAAAAATGTATTCCCTATTCTATCCGTCAATGGCAGAGATTTCACTGGATATTGATTTTTCGATAACTGGACGATTTGCCCCAAAAAACTTCCCGAAACAGACACGATGGCTTTGATTAATAAACCAGTTTCAGTCATTTGCTTCTGGTAACGTTCCATTATACTAAAGCATACCGCAGGTAAACAGGTTGACTTTCTCGATGTGGAAACGTGTAACAAGTGTGAAAGAGCAATAAATATCTAGAGAAGCCATTCCAAGTGAGTAAAAATGCAGTTGTGCCTCCGAAGAAATACCATACTCATACTCACAAGACCAGAGGAGAAAAAGGTTTCCTATAAAAGTGGACGCCCTACCATATTACTTTAAGACAACCAAGTTGACCTTAGAGTGGAGCAAAAACAGGGTAACTCATAGAGGTCTACTGAAAACGGCCAAGGAACCCTCAGATCGGGTTGGCTATTTGAAACGGTATTTGGGGTCGTTTGAACCAAGATTTTACCGCACATAGTAGAGGATAGCTGGATTAGATAATTTCATTTTCAAGCAAAGAATCTGTGAGATTCGTTTGGAGTAACCATAACAGATGCTCCGCACGTGGAGTACTACCTAGAAACGTATCACATCTAAAATGATTCCTAAGTGGGCAGTTGCTATTCGACAAAGGTTCTGTTATTACTTGGTTCCTTATAGCCCTTTTTCCCCAGAAAACCCCAAAGTTTTCAATACCTTCGAAGTTAACGGACAGAAGTAAACATAATGCATGATATTTTTTACGTTCAGCTGGCACGACTCAAGGACGATACTTGAGTGGGATCGACTGCCAGTGTGACTTAATCCAATCCATTTTCTGTGAAGGAATAAGGGTGAATAAAGGTCTCGCCAGGCATATTAGATAGATTTAGCTGTTTGCGAAAAGGTATTGCCCTTAAAGTACTGTCATATTTTTCCCTGACAGCCTATTCAACTAGGGAGAGTCTCTTCGAAACACCGCTCCTAAAAGGAGTCCAAATTTTCCCAGTGGATGAAAAATCTAAAGCCCAGCCATTCAGTTCGTTCCTCAGGGGGCCACTATGAGAATGCACCACTGCGTTTACGTTTGTGCTATCGATCTTCAAAATTAATTTCATGCTTTCCGTGATGTGAAAGAGATACTAAGTTGTCTGACATAGAGCCGCTCCGGTCACCTTCCTCAAAACCGGCAGTATAACAAATGCCATCTTCAGCATTGTGTCACTCACCATTCAAAATCCGTGAACAGAGCAGTATTATTCCAACATAGCGGATTTTCCATACGGTAATCATCGAGGGGCTTATGGTAAAAACAAGAGAAGCATCTATGGTTTCAACATCGCGTTCTCTCCGGTTGTTACGCCACGGTGAGGCAATAACGACTGCTTCAGTCAGGAATATCAGACAGACGCAGACCTGTTTGATTTGTGAGGTAGACAGACACCAGTTGAATTTTGACCAATCTGCGTGTTGTGCTCGGTTACATGTTACGCTCAGCACAATTTTTGTGCACAGCAAAGTTTTAGCGTGATTGTACTAACAGCTGATACGGCTTGATCAGGTACTGTTCAGAACGACACCCAAATAAGACAAGCTAGACAGCTGTCTAAAGCGAATCAGTCAAGTGTCGTAGATTCTAAGACAGCCTACTTCTACGACCGTATGAGGCGATAAGGTGATTTCAACAATTCGTAAAGTTAAACTGCTTAGAAAGGGCATGTTCGGTACGCCCCAAGTTCAAATGAAACACCCACATTCGTCCTATCGATAAAAGCTCGGCTTGGAATACTCGCTCCAGTTTCAGTTTATCGGCAACGATTATTGGGTCTAGTGATTTTTGTAGGATTAATTGTTGTCACACAAACTGCATTATGTTTCTTTCCTTCAGGTTCACCATGAACCTGTTCTTTTCTGAATGATTTTACTTTATAAAACAAGAAAGGTGCATGGCGGAACACAGCATTCCTCATTGAGTGTGACAGCTTCAAATATCAAAAACCTTGAAAACCGGTGGCTAACAGGATTGGGCATCAAACATTTGACAGCTGTTTTCAGGTCACTAATGTGATAACTCATATTCGCCGCAGTTTTGGACGGTGACTTGCCTATCGATGGAGGCACGGTGTGGACTGGTGTAGTAAATCTAACGCAAGCACAAACCGTTTTCTCCTACAGAAACCTAGTCGTATCGCTGAACAACGATTGCCTCAGTTATTGCAATGGTCCGGTGGTGAATTGGTATGAGTTGGTCAGAGAGGGTAAATTCACGACCACCAGGAAGACTTGTTTAATCTTCGTCTTTCTGTCCTTCTCCTTATGAGCCTTTGACTGTCTGACTGACTCAGGAATTTAGCCACCATAATGCTGTCTTAGCTATCCTGATAGACAGTCATTTTGGCAGTTGTTTCCTTGCCTTGCCAGGCAAAGCCTAGAAAAGTAGACCACCACACCTGGGAACGAAAGTAACGCAAAAATCAAAGAAGCTGACTGGAGACGTCCGTAGCTCGTAACCAACCTGATGAGCCAGGAAAACAGCATTGAAAGAAAGACAGAACGGGCCAGTTCGAAGATGTGCGCTTCTTGCACACAGGGAGATATATCTAAACAGCCAGCTAGAAAAGTTATTCTACTCCACAACCCTCAGTAGTGAATAATTTCCTATCGTGCTGTTTTCGGCCTGTCCATTGGCTAGTTCCTTTCACGAAAAGTAGCGAAGAAACCCATTATCACCAAGTTCGTTAGAGACACCACTTTAATTTCCTATCGTGCTGTTTTCGACCTGTCCGTTGGCTAGTTCCTTTCACGAAAAGTAGCAAAGTAACCGATTATCACCAAGTTCGTTAGAGACACCACTCTTCGAATGTAGCAGTTTGTCGAATGTACTAGAGTTTTGCATGCTTAGATCCAGTCAGATAGTGCTCCATCATACCATCCACTGAGAAGTGCTGAGAAGTGCAATATGCCAACATGCACCCAAGGAAGACTCACAGGTTTCGATTGTGAAACCGACCAGCTGGGTATATTAAGGTAAACAACAAAGCGGAAAACTCAGCTGCATAAACTCGACTTGCTCGGGTGCACTGGTTGTTTTTCCTGAGCAAAAGCACACAATTGAACTGGTCAACGACCTAAAACTTGAGGGTCGGTCCACTGGTACTGTTATGCTTCGTACTACAAACAGAATTTACTATCCATGCAGTACATTAGCAATGTAAACTCCTCACAGCCCTCTCCTCTCATAAAGTTAGCGCGTGCATTAGTGGAACCCGATTCTGTCCGCATCGGTTGGCCGTTGTGGCCAGTTCAGTCGGTGCGTAAGCGTTAAAGCATTCCCAGAGTTGGTTTCCATTTGCTTGTTTTGAGCTTTGATGGCTAAAAACAGTGAAAACTTTCATTCACCGAATATTCAAATTTCGTGAACGCAATTCGCTCCTTGTTAGTCTTTTGACTTTGGACTAATACCACAGGAAAAAATTCGAGGCTGTGTTCCGTTTACCTAAATATACGCCGTTACCCAATTCCTTTTTGTTTTATTCGTTTCATCCCATGACTCCTTTATGGACCTTGGAAATAAGGTGCTTTTAGATCAGCAAGAGAACTTGGATGCCGAATGTATGTCAACAGGAATGGAGGCTTGACTAGGCTAGCATGAAACGGGGTAATAAAACCGTTGGTATGTTCCCTTTTCACACACCCGTCTTTCTACTCCAACCGTAACCCAGCAGATAGAATTGCACGTCTGGAGCTGCCCAGTCCAACCTCACGAGTTCCCTTGTAGCCGCGTCCCCATGCCACTTCCACCAGGTTCCTGAACAGAGACTTCATCACCAGTCTGCATATGTAGACGTCTCCATGTGTACAGCCTAATTTCCGATGATTTTGGCACAACCGTTTCGTGGTTCAGGTGACAACCTATTTCGTATCTTTTGTGGTGGCATTTATCCGAAGCTACGATCATCGTAATAAGGTACTGGTTCACCATGGTTCACCATTTGAAGAAGCAATTGCTCTTGGTTTTCTTAGCGTCGGCTCTCAGTATCTCTGTCACATATTAGCGAAAGTTCGGTAGGTTAATAGACACTGCTACTCAACGTGAGTGCTGGTTGTGGTTATCTAGGCTTTCGCCCGTCCAGGGAGTTCTGGACGTATGTTTTCATGCCCAGGAGTCAGTAGCCGAGATGAATCTTAAATTCAGGTTTGGAAGTAAATACAGCTTTTTCTGGCAACTAAAAACTGTTGTGAGCTCCAATAGGTTGCTGGGCTTTCTGACTGATGTGGAGTAAAAAGCAACAGCCAGCTGGGAGACTAGTTGCGATCGACTGACAAACGTGATCCAAAACAAAAACAATAGTGATCGATTGGGAAATGTGTGGGACCGATTGGATAGTTATCGTTTCAGAGAGGCTTGGCAAACGATCGATGGACTGAGCAATGTTTCGCTTTTGACACAAAAGCTTCTCCAGGACAAGTGAGTAAGTAAGTAGGTTGATGGGGTTTTAAGGCAGTCATGGAACCAAGCCGTGAGATTTCTTATGACTAACCTACCTGATCAGTGCTGGGTGTCGGTCTGATGTTCCAGTTTGTTGGTTAGTGGGAATGACTAACATTTACGATAGACTGGTTGAAACTGGATTTTGCGCTCTTGCTTTTCTCGTCTAGGACACCTTAAGGAACTATTACTCTTGGGGTCGTCCACAGATTTTATTCGCCTGTGTACGTCGTGGGGTGCCGGGACAACTGGTTTGGGGATGGAGGTGGTTAATTGGATCTAACTCTACTTGGGTTTTGTACTTTTAGACCCAGACCATTTCGTTGATAACTGCACACCGCCTTGTGCTATCTCGGCTGATCTAAGACTGCTCTCCACACATTTGCAAGTTCTACGCTCTCTATTCTGTTCAAGCTGGGATGCTTGGCGATTTCCACCGCTTCGGCCACTAGTCGCTGCGGTGTGAATCTTATATCCCGTCTCAGAATGTTGACATTTTCCAAATCTATCTTATGGCAGGCCATGCCATTGCCAAACATTTGCTTATCGTCTTGAATCTATCTACGTTTCTCAGTGGTCTTTTAATGGATCGCTTGTGATCCGATTCCGGTATGCAATTCCCTGGCTATCTGATCTATGTAAACCTTTGTACAGTCGTTACATTTTATTTTGTATACACAGTTCATAGTCCTATCAACCGGAAGGTAATCCTTCAACAGTATCAACACCGTGTGTAAAGTCCTTCCCTTCTGGAATGCTATTCTAATGTCAGCCGTATTCAGTACCGTTTTAATGACTTCAAATGTCAAAAGCGAAACGTTGTTGACCAATGAATCTACCGATTGCCTACCGAACCTCTCTGAAACGAAAACCAATAGCACATACAAGGTAAGGTCAAGCACGAATGTGATTTGCTTGGACAAGACGCCGGATTTTACAAAGGACAGACGAATTGCTGTAAAAATTCGGTGCTGTTGGGAGACCGATAAATATCCCGTTCTTTCGCTGAACAACCGACCACACACCAGTCCAGAACTTTCGGTGCTATCCCAGTAGCAAATGTCTATCGGCGGTTGGTCGCATCTTCCTGACTGTCGAACCAATAGACACACACGAAAGCAAATGAGCACAAAAATTTAGGTCGAAGTCTGATGGCTTACTAAATGAGATGGTTAAGTTGCCGCATTGTGTGGACTACAAATGGACGGTGACCATGTTATCCTAACAGACCGGATCGATCATTCGATACTTTTAACTTAGCGGTCGGTTCGCCGTCGGTGTGTAGGCTGTCGAAATGGTCGGAATGTGTCCATGACCAGCACGAGGTTGTTCCGTTAAGCGACATTCGGTCACACTCATATCCGGAATGGGTCGAGTTGTGATCACGATGCAGGATATTTGGGTAGAACAAAAGAGGGCGTGGTCAGCGATCACAGTACCCTAAACGATACGTCTAGTTGTCAACGTCAATTAGGTCTTTGATGCATACACGCCGTCGCTTTTTTGAGCTCTGGGATGTGGACGCCAACCACAAAGGCATTAAAACACTTACACTGATTAGCTCAGTCGACGCATCCGGTAATTTGGACGAGTTAGTTGACGTCAATTCACTAGGGCACGAAGTCTGGTAGCAAAGCTTATCTGAAGTTGTTGAAGCTTCTGTCGGACCTTTTCATTCAAACTCTTTGATGAGAATCCCATGTTTTCCAGATGTTTGACCGGTAAAGGCTGTCCACAGCTTGATCAGTATCACTGATCAGTATCACCACACTCCTTTATGTGAAAACTGACACTTTGAAATGCA